GCCGCCCTCAGCGGCGGGCTCACGGCCGGTTGGGCTTAGGAGCGTTCCCAGTCCCGCTCTAGAACCATCCTTCCCTTCGGACTCGCGCGAACTCAACCGGATGTTTCAACGCTCTACCGTCACGTGGGTAACCGCACAGCTTTTTACCACAGCACAGAGGCTGGAGGGGATTTGCTCAAAAAGCTGGCTTTCGTACTTAGCTTTCTATACGGTTATTGCAAACACAGGGACTTGAGGCCCAACGCGGCTGCTATTTAGGGGGGGGGGGGCGGAGCGCTCTTTTCCGAGGCAAGTTAAGAGACACCGGGGAGTCCGGTTTCCGAGTAAGCGTTTAAGGTCTCCAAACAGAACTGCTTCGCTCTGGGGCGACAGTCCCGCGCCGCCACGCACCCGGCTGACCCACCGGTCCTTCCGGGGAGGTCTGCACACGCCTGGCCGTGAGGACCCGCCTGCCGTGAACCCCGGAGGGGGGCTCTTTCCCTAAGGGACAGGGACGCCCCGGGGGTCGTCCTGGTGACGGCAAGCCCGCCTAGGGCACCGAACATCACACGCCGGTAAGCGTCGGCCCAGCTGGCGTTCGAAGCTGAGGGGACATTCCCCACATTTAGAACTGTCGCGGAGAGCGAGGGAGCCGCGGCCGGGCTGCCAGGGACGGCGGGGCAGGCGGGAGGTACCCCGTCGTCACTCTGCCTCCCCCGAGTCCCCAGTGCCACCCTGCAGAAATGCAGGGCTCGGTCTCTGTTCCCGGTCCCTCTGCCTTCTGGGGTGGAGTCGAACTCCCTCGTGTCACGCGACACTTGCCGAAGCTGAATTTTTAAAAGAGCTCTGCGTGTTGGCTGCCAATTCCCAACGGGCTACGTGGTCGGCCCTTCTCTTTCCGATGCAAAAAGGAAACCACGAAACAGGGTTTGGGAAGCAGGCAAGACGCCGGGACTCGCCGCCAGACCGTCTCAGAGGGGACAGGTCGGCAAACTTTGAGGTAACTCTCAGAGGACCACTCTCCACCCGCAGGCGTCTGGGGCAGCTCCTCTCACAGGGGAATATGTGAGGCTTCATTTGCAAGGAGCCAGGAAGAGACCTGTGTGTGTGACCTCTAGCGGTAGACTGAAGTGTCCAATCTCAAGAGAAATTTAAATTAAAAAGTCAACACCAGGGGCGCCTGGGTGGCTCAGCTGGTTGAGCGTCCGACTCTTCATTTCGGCTCAGGTCACGATCCCACGGTTCGTGGGTCTGAGCCCTGAGTCGACAGCACAGAGCTTGCTTGGGATTCTCTCTGCCCCTTCCATGCTCGCACTCCCTTTCACTCTCAAGATAAATCAATAAACTTTAAAAAAAGAAAGTCAACAGGAGGGGCGTGGGCCCCGGAGACCGATCGGCCTCCATTTGAGCCCGGTTCTGCTCTGCACCCTATGCGAGCTACCTCTCCTCTGTGGCCCTCAGTGTCCTCCTTGGCAAGATGTGACACACTGTGCCCTCCCTACGTGACAAGAGACAGGTGAGAACACATAAGAATGCTCAGCTCAGGGCCTGGAACACAGAGGCAAGAGAGTTAGTAGCTCTCCAGCCTGCACGTTATATACAGTGACCTTTCTACAATAAACTGTTCAAAAACTTAGGATTAGGGGCGCCTGGTTGAGCGTCCGACTTTGGCTCAGGTCATAATCTCACAGTTTGTGAGTTCGAGCCCCACGTCGGGCTCTGTGCTGACAGCTCAGAGCCTGGAGCCTGCTTTGGATTCTGTGTCTCCCTCTCTGCCTCTCCCCTGCTTGCAGTCTGCCTCTCTCTCTCTCTCTCTCTCTCTCTCACTCTCAAAAATAAACAAACACCAACCTTAGGATTCTGAAGGAAAAGACTGATTGGCAGGGATCCTACGTGGCTCTGGGGCCATTCCTATGCAGTCTCCCACGAGGAGGACGGGAGGCGGCAAGGAAGGGACCGGAGAAGTGTCATGGCAACAGGCCTTGCCTCCTTCCCTGCTGGCCCTGGGCTGCCAGCACCTGCCTGCCTGTCTGCTGCACTGGCGCCCTTGGCTGGGGGCTAAGCAAGTCAGGAATCAGCCAGCGAGGCGGGAGAGCCAAAGCCTAGCACATCGATTGCCCCAAGGGCCTGACATCCTGGTTCCAGCACCCTTGGGTACACTGCCAGCTTGGCACGGCCATCAACCAGCCACCAAAAAAGGCTGTCCTTTTAGATAAGACCTGTGACCCCCACCCCACCCCACCAGCCCAAAATCCACGTGCACCCTGTGTCTAGTCTAATTACTCCCTGCTCTCTGTGCGACCCGCTGCTTGGACGACCCGGGTGACCAGGATACACGAAACAGGTGGGATCTGAGGCTGAGAGTCCAGCCTGAGCGATCAGACAGCGGCGGGGCGGGGTGTGGCCCTGTGGAACCCACTCCAGGTCCTTGCTCACCAGGCTCAGGCCTCAATGACTCGTGTCCAGGGACTGCGCTCCACAGAAAACCACTGCAACTGAGCAAACACAGGAACGCAGCTCCTAGCACTTCCGGAAAACGTCCCTCCGGGAGCTTTACCGGACACTGGAGCTCAACTTTTTCTGGCTGCCAGAAACCTGTAACTTGTTTTTATTACCGCGTGAGCTTATAAACCATCCCTGTTGGGGTTCTCTGGCTGCGGGGCTCCCACAAGGCCCCGGCGCTCGGGGACAGAAAGGTGCCGTGGGCTGGAGGCCGGCTCGAGAGGCAAGCCCGCCTGCAGCCCGCCCGCCGGCCGGTCTGAGACGAGGTGTCAGGACCACACCTTCTCCGGAAGAAACCCACGGAGCCCGCCGCTCCAGCGCCTGACTGCTCAGCTAAGGGAACCGAGAGACAGACCAAAGCGAAACAGGACACGTGCTCACTGTCGATGTGAAAAGCGGCAACAGAGATATGGCAACAGAAAACATATACATACTACAGGCAACAGGCGCCGCAGGCCACATGAGCTCCTGCATGCGTGACCTCCGGCCTTGCGGGTCCACGTACAGTCCCATGTGGCTGAAGCAAAGCAGGTACTCCTCGCTTTTGAGCTCCACAGCACAAAGGGCATCAAAAGACTGCTGTGAGAGGAACGTGAGCGAGGGGTCACTGGGATTTACCAGGGTTAGAGCCTGCCCGTCCCCCTGGGGGCTCAGCACACAGAACCCAGAAGGGTAGCCCACACAGAGCTTGTCTTTGATCGCGGCCATCCACTGCACGGGGCCGGGGGCCACCAGCTCATTGAACTTCCTGTGGAAAGGCCTAGTTCTCTGGACCTCATAGCAGAGGACCAGCCGCTTCACGGCCGCGAACAGGCAGGTGGAAGAGCTCTTCTTCAAGGTTGCAGTCGCTATGAGCTGGCAGCCTTTTGTTTCCGGAAGCTTGATGTCGACATTGCTCTCCGCCCCATCAAAGGCAGACCACGGACAGAGATGGACGTGGTGGTTGCGGCCGCAGAGGAGGACGGCGATTTTCTCTTTGGGAGCGAGCTCGATCTGGTACACTTTCTTGTAGTCGGCAACGCGGACGATCACTGCGGGGAGGCAACGTCGGGTCTCAGAGCCGCTCGAGGGCATCCGCTCGAGGGTGCCAGGAACCTCCCCACCGCTCCCTTCCCCGCAGTCGGCGTGGAGGGACGGACGGCCCCATCGTGCTCTAGAACGTGCCTCCACCCCCACCAACCTCACTGCCCTGCAGACGCCAGGGCAGCGCCCTCCTTGAGCGGCCCCCGGGGGCCACCCTTCTAAGACTCCTGCCCTGCCCTGCCCGCCCCAGCACCAGGGCCCCGGCCTGGAAGTGGCGCTGGACGTCCTTCCAGCTCATCCCTGAGGCCAAGAACCCTCGGGTTGCATTTAGGGAACAAAGACTTGTCTCCAACCTCACTGGACCCTCAAGCTCTGCAAGCAGCTGCCAACCCCACCGGGCTCATAACATCGGGGGTATTGGATGTAGGACCTGCACTAAGGGCTCTCTGAGCAGAGCCCTGGATCTGGACCCTGAGGGACCAACGGGCCCCGGCAGGCCGGCAGCAGGTGACGTGTGTTCGCTCCGGGCTCAGCAGGAAGGGAACGCTGCCCACCCGGGAGCCGCCCCTCATTTCTAGGGGTGGTGCCCAGAGCCTGGCCCAGGGCCCAGGCCAGTGCTGGTCTCCTTGTATTTCTGTCCCCGGACACAGGGCAGTGAGGAGGGGGAGACAGGAGATATTCTGCGTTCTCCTGCCGGGCAGAACGAAATGTCAAAAATCTGAAGCAACAGAAGGGAAGTTCCTGTCAGGTCTCAGCACACGGAGGAATTCAGGAAACGTTCTTCCTTCTAGGAAGCTCCCCCACCCCCAGCTGCCTATGCAGTCCTCTCCTAGACGAGCTCGCTGAGGGCCGTGAGCAGCTCACCCCCGGCCCCTGGGGCTGCTCTCTGCCCCGCACTGCACTCTGCGCTCGGAGGCACCGGTGAACGTTCCACGGCTACTAACATCTGTCTTATTGGTCGCAAACTGCTTTTCTCAGCTGTCCGCCCTTCCCTTCCTTTGCACGCTTCCCACATCACCAAACACGTCCCAGCCCTTGCGGGTTCCTGCCATGCATCCCGCTCCCGTCTGCGCGAACCCAGGACGGACAGAAGCCCCTGTGCACTCACCATCACGGGTCACCTCTATGACATAGAGCCCTTCTTCCAGGCCGACCACGATCCTGTCCCCATCTGTCAAGGCAGGAGAGGTAAAAACACAAAGTCAGCGCTACAGGCGCGCCATTGGCTTCTCAGAGCAGGTGCGGGACTACATTCGAACGGACGACACGGCCGTCGCCTTCGTGTGCTGGCGCGCTCAGGTCCGGCCCCGCAGCACCCCCCAGATGCGCTGCCGTCCGTGCTGGGAGAGCGCGGCCCCACGCGGCCCCCGGCACGCACCCACGACGGCGGCGCTCAGGACGGCCTTGATGAGAGGCAGTGTGCTGTCGTAGGCCTCCTGCGGGACGTGCACGATCTGGTTCCTCAAGCGGTTCTTGTGGAGGATCGACTGCAGTCCTTCTAGAATCCCAACCCACTTCCTCTTTTCGTTCTCATTTTCTGTCAGAATGAGCAGTGAGCTGGTCTTAGAAGGTGTCCCTAAGAGAGAGGCTGTCACCTTCATGACAGACAAAGAGAAGAGCCATGAGACAACCAAACCACACAGCAAACAGACGCCCCCAGCCTGGCCCGGCCACCACCTCGCACCGGAGGTCGGCGACAGGAGGGCGTGCTTCCCAGCACCGTGATTCGGGCGCCCGCGGAGGGTGTGAGGGGCTCTGCTGCCGGACACGGGCAGGGGCACAGCGATAAACAGGCACCCCGCGTCCCTTCCTTGTCAGGTTCTAGTTAACTCCACTCTTGCCAAAACTGTCATGTAGTTGTCCCATTTAAAAACTGATTTGTCGGGACGGCTGGGGGGCTCAGTCCGTCGAATGTCAGGCTGCAGCTTAGGTCATGATCTCGCAGTTTTTGTTTTATAAGTCCTAGCCCCGCGACGGGCTTGTGCTGCCAGCTCAGGAGGGCCTGGAGCCTCGTCTGGATTCTCTGTCTCCCTCTCTCTCTGCCCTGCCCCTACTCACTCACGGTTTCTTTTTTCCTCAAAAATAAATAAAAACATCGAAAAAAACAGAAACTGATTTCTTGAATGCCCTTGTTATAATTAAAAGTAGATTCTCAGAATGTGTACAGGAAAAACAGAATCTCCAACAAAAGTGCTTTGCCCAAACATGCCTCCCTGTGAGAATCCCCTGGGCAGTTGAAGCTCCTACAGAAGGATCACCTTGTAAGCAACGGTGGCAGCTTTCTGTGTTGTACGTAAGAGGCAGTTTCTGAATTGAAAGGAGACTTAATGAAAGAGGCTTCCTGGATTCCATTTGGTGGTCAGCCAAACTTCTACCGTATTTATAAAATATCCCCAATGTGGGTACCTGGGGGGCTCAGTCGGTTAAGCGTCTGACTCTTGGTTTTGGCTCAGGTCCCGATTTAGCAGTTTTGTGAGTTTGAGCCCCGCATCAGGCTCCGTGCTGACAGTGTGGAGCCTGCTTGGGATTCTCTGTCTCCCTCTCTGCGCCCCTCCCCCAGTCACACGGTCTCTCTCTCTCTCTCTCTCTCTCTTTCAAAATAAGTAACTTAAAAAAAAAAATCTTCAAAAAAATCCCCAGTGGAGGGGTTGGGGGGATCCTTTCCCCATCCCACAATCTCTCAGAAGCTTCCTAATGGCGCACCGTCTAACGTAAACTCAGTGGGGGTGGGGGGGGAGGGGCCTCTCCATCTCAGCCAACAACAGTGCTGAGAAACGTCTACTGGCTTCTTCCTGTTTCGCTCCAGGTAGTGGCCACTGAGTCCCAGGAAGGAAAGCTGCGGCGGCACACTGCACCCGTGAAGGGCGACGTGGCGGCTCCCAGCGTCAGGCACGTCGTGACCGGAGTCACAGACATACACGGCGGCTGAGGTGCAGGACGGAAGGCAGTGCCAGAGAGGTGGGGGAGGCGGGGCCTAGGAAGGAGGGACCCCAACACGAGGGAAGGAATCAGGGGGGCAGGAGGTAGAGGAAGAGGAGGTCCACCCTGGACCGGCTAGCCCCTTGCTATGGCACATCGAGATGCTCCGAAAGAGAACTGTTATTTTAACCACGGGAGTTCTTTCTTACGATTAGTAAAACATCTCTAAGAAACAGAAAAAAAGCATACCCTGAATATACACGGGACATCTCGGCGAGAAGCATGTATGACATCTGAGGCCAGGACCGAGCTCACCGAGAACTCCTCGTCCCTGGTAAGAAACAGAACACTCGGAATATCAGAAAGAAACGTGCACGCGGGCCGGTCCTCTGCCCCACTTATGGGAAAGGATACAGAATGTGAGGCGGGCCCCTTGCCTCCACCTGGGTAAGAAAGCACGCTGACAAAGCCAACAGATGACTCAAGGACCCTGCACGCGTTTCAGTGGTTAGGGACGTGGGAGAACAGAAGCTCCTTCCCTGGGTCACACCGTTCTCATCTGTGTCAGACGCCTCCAGTCACAGACACGTCACCGAACTGGCCCCTACTTGGCTATAATCAGGTGGCCGCTTGGTGATGGCCCCTAAGGAAGGGGGTGCAATGTGCCAAAGTGACTGCGGGAGGCCCGTGTCTGATACCCTCCGAGTCCTGGGCTCCACATCGAACACCAAGTCCCCGTGCCGCCTGCCAGCCAGCGGCCTCTTCGTCAAGAAGGCTGGGGCCCATCCGGGCCCAGTGACGGATGTGCAGTGGGGGCCGCCACGGAGGTGACCCCGCTACGCTTCTGTCCCTGAAGCCGTCGTCAGGGCGCCTGCCGCAGCCCGCTGTCCCCAAGAACAGCTGGGGACAGAGGTGCCGGGCCCTAGCCCAGGGTGGGTGCCCACGGGCAGAGGGGACTCCGGGCCCTGGGCTGAGCGCGTCCCTTGTGCTGACTCCGCCCCGCCGGCCTCCCAGGTCTGATGCCAGGAGGGCCCGTGATGAGATGAGGTGTAGGAGAGGGTGTCGTGCGGCGAAGCCCAGGGCTCTAGATCACTGTCACAAAGGGTACTCTCGGGTTCTGACACCTTAGGCTGCACAGTGTGTCTCTGGGGTATGTTCTCCCTGCTCTTGGGACGTGTCATTTTCTTATGTTTTACAAACGCCTACCTGGCAAACCGTAGTGTGCAAAAATACCCAGGCTGCTACAGCACGCGCTCTACGTGCATACAATGTGCACGGATGCGAAGGTGTGACGGGGTTAAAGATCACCAAGCAGCACAGTAAGTCGGAACTCACACGATAGGACAGACCACACAGAACACGCACCTGAGGTCCAGGACCTGGCTGGCGACAACGCCAGGCTGGGTGGATTTTCCTTCAGGCAGGTCGTAGAGGAAGAGCTTGCAGTCACAGACCACCGCGTAAGCCCGCTGCCACCCCTTCTTCACCCCGGTAGGCTTTGGGACCTACAGGGAACAGTGGCCACATTCCAGTCCACGCAGCGGAGGCCGCGGCCCCGGGAGACGTCCCGCCCGTGGTTTCCTTCCAGCTGCCGAACGGCTGGCCCGCTCCTCCGGGGACAGCCCCCTCACGCCCTTCCCAGGCTGGTGCCAGGGCCGGGTCCGGGCCCGGGCAGACTCAGGCACTACTGGGGAGGGATCCACACGTGATACAAGGTGATGCACGGGCCAAGGCGGACGAGTCAGCAGACAGGCGTGTTCACAGCACACACAGCTGCGAGGCTGCGGCCGGAGGCTGTCCGGACACAGTGGTTTTCAGGCGGCACTTGGCCACGGAGCCCTGTCTTTAAATGCATGGCCCAGAAGGCGGGGACAAGGGGCTCTGGCAGACGGAGATGTTTCTGTGGGGTCCTCAGAACCCGGGCCCCAGTGCCTTAGCGCCCAGGAGGGGAGGCCTCCCAGGAGCAGCGCGAAGGTCACTTCACAAAGCAACCAGGGACAGCCCTCGGGAGCAGTGGGGTGCGGCTCTCGTGTCATGGCGCCCGAGGCCAGGAGAGCTGAGGCGGCGGAACCCGGGTCTCCGCGCGTCCTACCTTGACGTAGCCCTTGTAGGCTGTCCCTATGCCTCTCTGCACGTCCACGCCGAGCGGCCGCTTGGACTGCTCAGGAGGGATGGGGCACACCTGGGGAGCGCTGTCTCTGCAGGCCACGTGGCAAGCGAAGGAGCACACTGGAAAAGTGCAGGGGTGGGGGGGGGGGGGGCACGGCCGTCAGACCCCGCCTCCTCCGGGGCAGGACAAGGCTCAGTAATCACCTCCCCGAGTCGCAGGAAGGGTCCAGACACCCAGTGCAGCCAGCACATTCTGGAACACAGGCCCCACAGAGCCCCGGGACTCTGGCACCAAGCAGCTCTCCGGCAAGCTGGCGGGGCCCTCGCGGGGAGGCGAGGGCTGGCATTGGGGGCGCGGCCGCAGAGCCACACTGCTCTCCCGGGAAGCCGCGCCTCGCTGCCACAGGCGTGTGACAGGGCAGTGGCTTCAAGGACACACAGGTGTCCTGGCAGCCGATCAAAAGGCCTGCCAGTAACAAAGGGAAAGGCTGCTGCTACCAGGTAAAACACAAAGCTGTTTTGCAGAGCACCCCCCGCCCAGCTGCTGTCGCTTGTGTGACTTCGGCAGGCGGCTCATCTGTGAGACGGGTGATCAAATGCCCTGAACCGGTCTTGCTGCCGGCTTATCCTCAGACGCCATGATAACGGAGAAGCTTAAAGTCCTGTTTACTCTCTGCTCTTCCTGATTTTCCAGGACCCTGCATGTTTCGTATTATGGCAAACAATACTCGGCTCTCCCAGTGCAGCGAGGACCCCTCCTGAGTGTTCACAAAGCTACAGAGAGAGGACCCGCCCTCGACTGGCTCACAAATTCACAAATAGGCTTCCCTTCAGCTGCACCTGACCTTGGAGTAATTCCCTCCCGGGACAGGCCCCCCCCCCCCCGCCGCCCCCCTCCCCCGGCCTCAAGGCGCAGGGTCCACACTCACCCTCGCAGGCGTAGCCCTGGCGGACCAGCCCCACCATCAGGGAGGTGCAGTGGCTGCACTGCGTGGGGCTGGAGAAGGACTTGATGCTGAACTGGTGAGCTTTTGGCTGGAGGAAGAATATCGAGAAGGTGAGACCCAGGCTCTGAGCAGAGACCATCTGTTTATGGTCAAGTTTATAAACTTGGCCGTGGCCTTGAAAGGTCGAAAAGGTGCAGTTTCACTTTGAGATGTACGTGCTAACCAGAGAGGAGTGCTTAACACCCATCTACAGAGCTGGAGCCTGAAAATAAGTCAACGCGTTTCCTTCGGTGAGCTTTGGTCTTGCTACCAAAACACCACGGGGGGATGGGTAGGGCCCCTGTGGTACCACGGCTGCCACCGACTCTGGAGCAAGCTCCGTGCCTCCTGGAGGCCCCTGGGGGGGGGGGGGGACCGCCCCCACAGCTGCCCTTGCACATGAGACCGAAAAGACAAGCAAGGAATGGACAGCAGCCCTGTTCTGGAGAGCAAAGGCCTGGACAGACCCCCGTCCCGTTGGGAGGACAGACACGAGGACACAATCACGGGAGGCTGAGGAGAGGAACAAGCCGCAGACACGAAGGACGGTGAGTCTACACAGCTCCGACACAGCAAAACGAAAGGACTGTTACTCGGGGACGCAAATACTATAAAACCATTTGTAAGAAGCAAGGGAGCAGTGAACACGAGATGCAGACAGCAGTCCACCTGACCCGACTGTGCAAGAAGCTAAGTGCAAAGCCCAACAAAATCAAGGTCTTGTCCCTAGCTGGCACGGCTGCCTATGGTTGAGGCCACGTCTGCATGAAAAGGAGAACAAAACGCATCTAAATGTGTGAAGCCAAACGCTAAGCCTGGAAACACAACTGGAGCTCTGGGGTCACTGCCGGACCTTCTGCGCTGGCGCCTGGCTCTCCAGATGTGCTTCTGGAAAAGACAGGTGAGAAAACTGCACATCTGGTGCAGCCCCCCTACTCTGGGGACACACCTTCCCACGAGCCACAGGGTTCTCTACTGCCGGAAGCGCAGACAGGTAAGCAGCAGTAAGTTTGCAGAAGGAACACCGTAGATACATAACACAGAGTGGTCACCATCGGAGAAGGGAACGTGATCCAGAAAATGAAGGAAAACGAGAGGAGTTCTGAAATTTCCCAATTAGAATGTGATGACTTGTCATTGATTTAATTAAGGAAACACAGGGTCCAGACACTTCCTGGGCCACACACTGTTCACAGCAAACCATTAACAGGACACAAGGGTCTCACCGTGTCTACAAAACCAATGAGCCTATCTTATTCGTACAGTTACCTTCTAAAATAGAGAAGGTGCCACGGGTAAAAGCAAGGGCCCTACCTTTGGTCCAGCCAGAGCGAGGGGCTGCGTGGTGGGCAGCGGCACGGTTGGCGGCCTCTGTGGGGCCCGAGCCATGTCCTGGGGACAAGCAGGCACAGGTGAGCATCCTCTTAGCTCAGTACTGCTCTAACATGTCAGACCCTGCTTGGGATTCATTTCTCCCTAGAACTGATTAATAATGAACTGCATTTTTAATTTACTACATTGTTGAGACATCTGTCTGCGCTCATGCAGCCGATGCACGGGCAGTCCCTCGGAGATACAAGTCAGGCCCAGCAGCTGGCGATGGGATCTGGCTACAAGGTGTGAGGCAGGACCAGGGGGGCCACCTTGGCATGAGGTGCCCTTGGCATGAGGGCAGCCTCTGTTCACCAAGGGCAGCATGTGGCACACGGGCATGGGGGTGGTGGGTCCCGAGGTTCTCGCAGGGTAGTATATGGTATGACACTGCTTACTTCTTGCTGCTCTGTGCTTGCAGCCACAGACACCGACGGGGACACCTCTGGCTTCGGGGCTTGTGTTTCCTGCTCCCCAGTGGAGCTGCTCTGTGAAAATAAAGGCAAAGAAACAGTGGGAAGGAGAGAACTGCAGAAGTCACACTCCGATTCCGTGCTCTGTGTTTAGAGAGTGTTCCACCGGGGACCCAAGGTCCCGGCCCCGGCTCTGGCTCCCATCTGACCCCACCTCACTCACAGCCAGCCTGTCTTCCCTGAGGACCACTGCCCATGGCATTCTAAGACCAGAGTGATGACTGTGGGGTCTGTCCAGTCGCAGCTGTTACCGAAGGCCAGAAGCTCCAAGCCTCCCCCTCCAACCAAAGCCCTTGCTCACATTCTCCCCACGGCCCTGTGTAAGGGGCAGAAACTGGAAACCACCAAGCCACTGTTGTCGTTCAGAAATGATTTCGTCCGTACCTGGTATCGTTGAGATAAAGGAGTCAAATGTTTTTGACCTCATTTCAGGGATCAAGAAGAAATTCTGAGATCAGTCGGGGTCTGTGGGCCTATGGCCAGAAGCAAGAATTTTCCTGAAAGCCTTATGACACGGGGAAGCAATGTTTTGTTCTAAGCACTCAAGATTCCCAAATTAATTTCAGTTTGAAATTGAAGCTAAAGCTTTGAATCTAATTTGAAGCTATTCTAAATTTTTTTTTTCAACATTTATTTATTTTTGGGACAGAGAGAGACAGAGCATGAACGGGGGAGGGGCAGAGAGAGAGGGAGACACAGAATCGGAAACAGGCTCCAGGCTCCGAGCCATCAGCCCAGAGCCCGACGCGGGGCTCGAACTCACGGACCGCGAGATCGTGACCTGGCTGAAGTCGGACGCTTAACCGACTGCGCCACCCAGGCGCCCCTTAAGTGGTTTTAGAATAGCTTCAAATTAGGGGGCCACCCAGGCGCCCCTTAAGTGGTTTTAGAATAGCTTCAAATTAGGGGCTCCTGGGTGGCGCAGTCGGTTAAGCGTCCGACTTCAGCCAGGTCACCATCTCGCGGTCCATGAGTTCGAGCCCCGCGTCGGGCTCTGGGCTGATGGCTCGGAGCCTGGAGCCTGTTTCCGATTCTGTGTCTCCCTCTCTCTCTGCCCCTCCCCCGTTCATGCTCTGTCTCTCTCTGTCCCAAAAATAAATAAATGTTGGAAAAAAAAATAAAAAATAAATAAAAAAAATAAAACCACTTAAAAATGACCTCATTTGGGGGCCCCTGGGTGGCTCAGTCGGTGAAGCACCCAACTTCAGCTCAGGTCATGATCTCATGGTTCGTGAATTCAAGCCCTGCATCAGGCTCTGTGCTGACAGCTGTCTCTCTCTCTCAAAAATAAACATTTAAAAAAAATTTTTTTTAAATGACCTCATTTGGAGTGTTATTATTTCCTGATGAAAGGCTATTGCTATTTAAACAGACACACATAAACCATGCGTGTGTGCAGCGAGCGGGAGCGAGCGCTGGGACACAGAAGTAGCTGGGCTAGGTTCCTACAGGGGCAGTTTGCAGCTGTTACCCTGTGTTCCACACTGAAATCCCAATCAAGCAAATCAGAGAAACACTTTCCAAAAGTTGTAATTAACAAGGTTCCTGGAGAAGGAGCCAAATTCAGCTGGGAAGGTAGCACAGCACATAAACACCGCAGTTTGTGAATTTGTTCATTTCACAAGGGAAATGCTATACCAATTAGCTAATTATCAAAGCTACACAGTAAGCAGATTTCTCCCATAAATACGGTATGTTACACGCGTTAGCGTTCCATCTCTCCATGAACGAGGAGCGAGAGAATATTAAGAAACCTGACTGGTTTCACTTGGTTGGTCCAAGGATGGGAATTAAGGGCAAGGAGTCGTCCACGACTGAGGGCTGCTAGGGACACAGGGAGGGCGTGGGGGCCTCAGCAGCGACTGCTGCTTCCCAAGAGGCTAGCAGAGAAGATGTGGGGGAGGCAGCGTCGTTGATGGTGACAGAAGCGAGGAACAGAACCGTCACTCCCCAACCAATGAAAACTTGCATAAAAATACAGTGATTCCATCACTGTGGCCAATCATTCTAATAGTTAACAACATGTTTAATAGGGAGAAAGCAGGATAGAAGCTTCTAAAAGACGATTCTCAGGTCTGGAAACACCTCCTGACAAACCCAGACTCTGACCAAGGATTTGCTAACTTAAACCACAGAGGTAAGGAGGGACCGAGACCAAACACGAAGACGGCAGGAGTGCTGACTCCCCGGACATGGTACCAAGATTACGGCCTCCATCTAGCTCCGTGACAAAACCTCCCGACTGGCTGTCTACAGTGGCGCCGAGTTCGGGCTGAAACCACCTGCCCCAGGGATCGCTACTCTTGCTCTAATTCCGTGTCTAATGCCGCTCTCCTGGCCGCCTCCATCCCGTTAACAACGGCAGCCCTCGGCTTGCCGCGATGTGTCTAGCGCTCCAGCAGAGAGAGAGGCACGAGACTTACGAAGCAGGACGTTTCTGAAAGAACCGCCGTGTGAGGACCAGGTAAACCTATCTGCCTCTCAAAACTCAGGCCTTCAGGGAAGAGACGAGCATCACCAACGTGACAAGAAACCATTCTGACAGGTGAACATGAGCAGGTGTGAGCCAGAGCAGCAGGACCCACGCCAGCCTACTTGATTCTGTAAGAACCGCTGCCAGGCACGGGCTGCTGGCCTTCGCCAACCCGTGGGCGCGAGGCTGCTGGCGGACGGACATCCGGCAGCCTTCCCGACGGCTCGACGCTTACGAAGGGGCGGGGCGGGGCCTGGCAGACGCCACGTCCGCCTGACGCCGAAAGCATCACGAAGCCTACACACTCGGGACGTCCACATCCTGTGCGGCATCCCTGCCACAATGTCCAACCCACGTCAAATCAGCCATCAGACAAATCCGGAGCGTAGGACACTCAGTGAGACGACTGGTACAGATACCACAAAAATACCAATGTTATAAAGGGTGGGGGTGGGGGTCGGGGCGGGGGAGAAACTGGGACACTGTTCCAGATCAAAGACTAAATGCGACTTAGGAGCTCTGCTTGGACCCTGACAAGAGGAGGCAAACCAGCCGTAAAGGACACTCAGGGACAAGGGACATGTAAAACATGCACGCTCTACTACAGCATCAGTGCAAAGGTCTCGTGCAGGACAATGACATTATGGTTGTGTCAGGAGAACATCCTTCATCTTAGGAAACAAACACTGGTGCGTTAGGAGAAAATGGCAGGGAGAGATACTTATGTGTTTAGTATTCTTTCAACTTGCCCGCAGGTTAACGTTTTCTTAAAAAAAAAAAAAAAAAAAGGGGGGGGG